GGAGGCAGTAAAGAGGAATTCTGACCTATCACCTCCCATTCCTCACTGGTCAAGGCTTCCAGCCTTGTTCGCGCAGCAGAATAAATGAGTTCCCAGTGATAGTAGAGAGAAATTTCAGGGCAGAAAGTGAGAGGTGGTCCACATAGCAGAGACAGCTTGCCTTACACATAGCTGACTGCTGCACCAGCATCTGAACTGAAAAGATACTCAATGAGAATGTGAGGTAATACCCAATACCTATATGGAGAGCTAAGAACAAAGTATAAAAAGGATATCATATCACAGGCTGTGCTACATTTTTGCTAATAAGTGACAGAGACAGTGAAGATACTTGGGAATGCACTGTAGAGTGTTTCAAGAAAGCTTACCTGGAAAGAGTCAGCTCCTATCTTGGACTTGAAGGAAAAAAATATATTAGAAGTCAGCTGTGTTTGTGGCTCAGTATGTGTGCATTTCTTCTGGTAAGAAAATCAAAATTCCCTCTAAAGCAGAGCTTCCTCTCCTCTCAGCCCATGTGTGTGGCCTTCCTTAAGCTCAGAGGTCAAAGCGTGTGACATAAGCTCATGTAAGTTGCAGTATTGCGCTCCCTGGCCACTGGGATTGACATGTGACTTAAGAAAAGATGTTATAATGAAATGAAAGTTTTACTAAAAATTCTTGGACAAGAGACTTGCTTTTATTTCTGGGTTTAAGGCAGCATAAAAAGATACAGACTTATCTTGCTCCTTTGAATGAGGAGTGAGGTTATCAAAGGTGATTTAAGTCAAGAAATAGAAAGAAAGAAAGAAACACCCAGAGAAGATCTATGAGTCTCTTCATCAAGCCACACTTGAGACCAGTGATTCACTTGGACTTTTCAAGTATGCAAGACAATAATATATTTTTATGTTTAAAGCAGCTTGGATGGTTTTTTAGTTGCCTTCAACAACAAAAGCAGCAACAAATCTTGTAACTTAGGTGATTTTTAGACTTCTTTAATTTTTAATTGTCTATAATTTAGTAATTTTTATTATTTTATTTGTAATGATTTCAGTATTTTCTTCCTTATTTTCCATGCCTGTAGAATGATTAAAGAGAAAAATGGCTATTAGCACAAAGAATCAAAATAGGGAAGGAATAATAAAGTACCACTTGGGACCTCAATTGTTTTGTTGTGTTTAATTGGTTAATCCACACAGAAAGGTGCAGGTGTTATATTTGTAAGATTACTTCTTGTAGCTTTATTATGCAGATGGAAAGTTTAGAAAGACTATATGCTATTTTCTTTCACTGATCTTTTAAGCCCACACTGGTCTTTTAAATTTGCTACTGACTTTATATGAAAGTTGTGAAAGTTGCAGTATTGAACATAGAATCTAAAAAAAAAAAGTCTCTGAAGGTCCTATGTTTCAAGTGGGACGCAAGAAAAATGTATTTGTAGAAAAGATACATATGCCAGGAATATCTCTAGATTATCAGATTGTTATTTACTTATTATATTTATTGAATTTGTCCATCACTTATCACCTTCTACACACAGCAGTGAATAAAAGTCTGGCTGCATCTGACTCTATAACTCATGGTCTGTAGTAAACATAAAAAGAAAATTTGGAAGGCAACAGTATTTCAAATAAGGCCAAGCATAGAACCAAAGGTCTCAGGAAAGAAATTGATAATGGTTAGGCTGATTGAGAATGCTGAGTAGAAGGTACCTCCATCAACCCCAGCTTCACTGTACTTTTGAGCTCTGAATGGGTACAGATACTTTGTACACTATTGTCTTCACCAGAATTGTCTAAACACTACATAAGCTCTGACCTGGTCTATACAATCCTGGCCCGTGGCCTCTGCAACTGGATTTGCTCTTAATATATTGAGTGATTGAAACCATATGGGCAGCCATTTATGTTGATCTTATTTATAGACTCTGCCTTATGAAAAATGCATAGTGTGTGGTTATTATTTTTGCCCGAAGTCATATCAGAAGCAGTAATATTACATTTATTTATCTACAGAATAAAAGTTAAATTAGAAGATTGGGACTATTATCTTGGATCCGCAAGCTTGGAACAATCTGGTTTGGAAATTTAAAGTGTCTAAATCAATCTTTATCCATCTTTTCCTTTCCCATCTTAGGACTTTGCAGATACAGTTCAATACAAGATTTTCAAGTAAATTAATGACATGACATGTGAATCTTTTTTCAATAAGCTTTAAATTGATATTGTTCCCATTGTTTCTGTTATATTTTGAAATTAGATGGAGAAGTCATTTTAGAGATGGTATTTTTGTATTTTTATTCTTCATACCTGGTGTAGAGGGACCCACTAAATCTCCAATTATTCCAAAATGAAGCAGGATATTTCTGAAAGGGCCGGGGATTTAGCTCAGTGGTGTAATCACCTGCCTCACAAGCATGAGGTTGTGAGTTCAATCCTTGGTACCGAAAAAAAAAAGGGTAAAAAGAAAAAGATATTTCTGAATCAGAGTAAATCTCATTTTTTAAAAAAGAAGTCGTGCCACAACATTTAGAATAGAAATAGAAAAAGCACCATTGCTCTGAACTAATGACAAGATGGCTTGGTTAAACAAAAATATTTAGATTTATTTTGAATTGGTTTAGGTTCTCAGAAATCCCATTTTAACATAGGGAATCATTTTGACAATTATTTGGGTATTTAAAATTGTTTACTGAATGATTTTAATCCCTCCTAGTGGCAGATTTCACTACATCTGAGACAAGTTTGATTTTGTTAAATTCCTAAACTACTAAATCCTAAGCCACATCAACCCAGGATCATGATTAGAGTTAGAAAAGTGACTGTGTGAAAGATGTCACCTTCCTATTGAACCATAGCTATGGCTCTGGGTCACATGTGTCTCTGAATCACATCTGTTTACTGATGAGTCTAACCAATGCCCGCATTCACTCGCATGCAACATCATGAAGGCTTGCATGTGTATTGTCATTGGATGTGTTGGCCCCAAATAAAAGCTCCCATACCTTTGGCTTCTGATTCTACGCTGCTAGAAAAATGACTGGATTGTAGCCTTTCAATGTTGTACTGTATCAAAGAATCCATCTAAGGTCCTCTGCCTATTGCTTTACCTTTCATGGGAAGAGAAAAATGAACTTTGATTTCCATATCTAAACTTGGTCTACTTTTAGCTGATGAAATAATAAAAGATTTATTTTACAGCAAAGCAAGCTAATTTTATGGAGAAGTTAAAATCTACTAGGTAAGATTAAAAGTATTTATTTCCTTAAAATATATGAAAGTAGGTATCTCTATTTGGTTCCTCCCCAGTTAAGTTTTTAAAAAATAAGAGTAATTCCTTTGGAGAAAATATAAAATATTGCATCAGACAGTGTCAGCATGTTTTAGAGTGAGATGATATAACAATGATGAAGAATCCTGTCCTTTAAGATTAAAATAAATACTTCAATGTGGTTTTGTTTCAGTAAGCAAAAATACAATCATGCCTTTTCTTTTTAAGACCAGTATAGGGCCTGGGGATTTAGCTCAGTGGCATAAGCACCTGCCTTGGTCATGAGTTTGATCCTCAGTACCGATAAAAAAAAGATCAGTATAGATTGTCTCTTTTTTGTAACTTTAGTCTAAAATTAACTTTGTAAATAGAACAAATATCAATGCGTGACTCTGTGATTTCAGTTTTGCTCAAAGCGTGTTGAGCAAGAGCAGCAGTGGACATACAATGATTAATTAATAGTATGCACACCAAGTTTGAGTCCAATTCTTCCTGTGAGGAAGAAAGGACTGCAAATTACTATAGACCCACGGAATGTGTAAACAAGAGTCAAATGACAGCTTGTGATTGCAACCCAGTACACTAACCACATACCAGCCTTTGCAAACACACTATTATGTGAGAAGTGAGGTAGACAAAAGCACCTTTTATTCTAACATCTTTAAATTAGAAATGATGCATTTTATTACTGGGAAATAAATGCAAGAGTAAACTCAAGGCTTGAATTTTGTTAGATGAGTAAACAATTTTTTTGGTGACATATTGGTCTTGCAAGAAATTGCATATTTCTTGATGCTAAGTACCATGTCATTGCACAGTGCAAGTTACTAGCTAAGAAATTACAATCCAAGAAATCATCCAATGCATATTTACTAACTGCCTAATACGTACCAGAAGCTGCTTAAAGACAGGTACAGAGTAGTGAATAAGAGGAAGGAGGAAGCTGTGGAGATGAGGTTATAACCTGATTCATAAATTTGGAGAGAGTCAAGTATGCCCAGGCCAGTGCCTGTTCTATTTGGGATTTAGGCTGTCAGAAGAGAGTATACTTCATGGTCCATTATTTGCTATCAGGGTCTTCATTTGAAAGGGAGGTCTAAAATTATCTCCCTAATGACTAAGTAAGGAAGATTACTAATTTAGGAATGAAGCATTGGTATCCCCATTTGGTCTCATATCTATGTTTTGTTTTTCTCCAGAAATTATCAACACTAATAAAAATAACAGTTTATCTTCTTGAATCATAAATCTGTCTGTTACTTACTTCTAAACTTGTGTAGGTATGATTAAGGTATTAATATCGACCCCTTAAAGTGCCTAGACAAATATACTTCTACTGTTAAATAGTAAGGTAAACCTATGGCAAATTATTTATAGTCTGAGATTCTTTACTTGTAAAATAAGCAAAGAAGCGATTTCTAAACTCCAAGGCTGCTCAAACATTCTGTGATTCTATTATTGTTTCTAGTAGAATTCTTTTAAAATTGATTGATTGAAATTATAATTCATTATTGAGAGTTTAGTAAAATTTCAGCTTCAAAATTTGTTATTGATTATGTAATTCAAGTATTTTGAATTGCAGTCAAATTTTGGAAAAATATCGTTTCTCCACCTATGATCTACCATGGATGAACTTGCTTTTTGTTGCATTGCTATACATTGCGTTCTGCAGAAAAGACATCTAATCAATTTTATTTTGCATACCTTTTCATGAATTTTTATAATTTCTTACACAGACAAGCAGGTTATTTTATATACAGACAATTCTTTTTTTATTTTAAAAAAGATAGATAAAAGAGGACATAACAAAAGAGGACAGAATAGAACAATTAAAGCAACATAGTGTTTCACAAGACAACCCAGCACAACAGTAGCTACCATAGTGTCTCTTTCCTTGAAATATTTGAGTATACCTTCAAACACTATAGTATCAAAGATAAGACATAAGTATCAAAGATAACAAGTACAAAACCATTCAAGAGAATGAATGTATTACAGGTTATTCAGAACCAACTAACAGAAAATGAACAATGGTTACTATATTATCTCCTTGTCCATAAAGAATTTTGTTTATACTATCACATATAATAAAATACAATAAGATACAACATGATAAAACTGATGGAGACAGAAGAACAAAATCTTGGAAGGACTTCAAAACAAGATGATATTAAATCAGCACTAGCTATTATAATGTTTTATTTTCTTCAAAATAGCTGTTCATACCATCACCTACAATACACTCAAACAACCCAGAATAAACCATTCCAACTGATGAATGAGAACTTTATAAGGCTTCAAAGCAATATAATGGGGAATCATGATTATCACACACTTCTATGTATTCTTACCATTTCTTACACTAGGTAGACTATTCTGTATTTATACATGTAAGTTTGATTTATTTCACTTACGAGTATGGTCTCAAGCTGCATCCATTTATTTATAAATATCTCAATGCGATCATTTGTTATAGCTGAGTAGTACTCCAGTGCATAAAAATACCACAATTTTATGTCCATTCCACAGTTGATGGACACTTAGGTTGTTTCTTAGATCTGGCTATTACAAATTATGCTGCTATAAACATGGGTGCACAAATATCACTGTGTTAGGATGTTTTCAGTTCTTTTGGGAATATGCCCAGAAGGGGAATAGCTGGAACAAATGGGACTTCCAATCTCAGCTTTCTGCGAAGTCTCCAGACTGACCTCCACAATGGTTGCACCAGTTTACACTCCCACCAACAGTGCAGGAGAATTCCTTTTTCCCCACAGCATCTCCAGCATTTGTTGTGGTAGTTTTCTTGATCCTGGCCATTCTTTCAGGAGTGAGATGGAATCTCAGTGTGGTTTTAATTTGCATTTCTCTAATGACTAGTGATGATGAACATTTTTTCATGCATTTCTTTGCCATTTGTATTTCTTTATCTAAGAACTGTGTATTCATCTCAGATGCCCATTTTTGGATTGGACCTTTGAATTTTGAGGATCTGATTTCTTAAAGCTTTTTATGTTTTAGACAGAAGCCCTTTGTCTGAAGGACAGTTCACTAAGATTTTTTCCCAGTTTGTGGGTTTTCTTATCACTATGCTGGAGATTTCTTTTGACATGCAGAGACTTTTTAATAAGACGTGATCCCAGTTATTGATTCTGGGAAGTATTTATCATGTGGTATGATTCCTGTTCATGAATTCGCTACCTACCCCTATGTCTTCAAGGTTTTTACCCAATTTGTCTTCCAATAGATTTAGTGTTTCTGTTTTAATATTCAGATCTTTGATCCATTTAGGTTTTAATTTAGTACATGGTGATACGCATGGGTCTTGTTTTAGTTTTTAGCATATGGAAAGCCAGTTTTTCCAACACCACTTATTAAAGAGACTGTCATTCTTCCAGTGAACATGTTTGGCCCCTTTATCAAAGATAAGATGGTACCATGTTGATTTTACTATAGCTGCTTTGTAGTATAACTTCAAGTCAGGGATTGTGATGCCTCCTGCCTTGCCTTTGCTGATTAGAACTGTCTTTGCTATTCTTGATCTCTTCTGGATTCAGATGAATTTTAGGAGTGATTTCTCTAGATATATGAGGTATGTTGATGGTATTTTTAGTGGGATTGTATTGAATCTGTATAACAGTTTTGGGAGAATGACCATTTTCACAATATTTATTCTTCCTATCCATGAGCAAGGGATGTCTTTCCATTTTCCGAGATCCTCTTCAATTTCTTTTTTCAGTGCATTATAATTTTCCCTATATAGATCTTTCACTTCTTTAGTAAAAATATTTCCTAAGTATTTCAATTCTTTGGATGGTAGTGTGAAGGGTGTGGCTTCTCTTATTTCTCTCTCTGTGAGTTTGTTGTTAGTGTATAGTAATGATATTGATTTTTGAGTGTTGATTTTGTATTCAGCTATACTGCTGAATTTATTTATTATATCTAGGAATCTTTCAATGGAATTTTGGGGGTCTTCTATCTAGAGTATCATGTCATCTGCAAATAATGTTAATATAACTTCTTCTTTTCCTATCTTTACCCCCTTTATTTCTCTCTCTTGTCTAATTGCTCTGGCTAGTGTTTCTAGTACTATATTAAATAGGAGCAGTGATAAGGGACATCCTTGTCTTATGCCTGATTTTAAGGTAAAGATCTTCAGTTTTTGGCCATTTAGTAGGATACTGGCTGTTGGTTTGTCATAGATGGTCTTTATCATATTGAGGTAAACACCATCTATTCCAATTTTCTGTAAGGTTCTTATCATGAATGAATATTGGACCTTATCAAAAGCTTGTTCTGCATCTACAGAAATGATCATGTGATTCTTACTTTTGGCTTTATTGATATGCTGGATTACTTTTATTGATTTATGTATGTTGAACCATCCCTGCATGCCTGGGATGAATCCCACTTGGTCATGGTGTATAATCTTCTTGATGATTTGCTGCATCCTGTTTGCCAATATTTTATTGAGGATTTTTGCATCTGTGTTCATTAGGGAGATTGGCCTGTTGGCCTGTAGTTCTCTCTCTCTCTCTCTCTCTCTTTTTTTTTTTTTTTTTTTGGTCTTTCTCACGTTTTGGTACTAAGATAACATTTGCTTCCGGGAATGACTTATGAAGAATTGCATCCCTTTTGATTTCATTGAACAGTTTAAGGAGTGTCAGCATTAAGTCTTCTTTGTATTTCTTGTGGAATTCTGCAGTGAATCCATCTGGGCCTGGGCTCTTCTTTGTATGTAGGGACTTAATTACATTTTCGATTTAATTAAAAGAAATTGGATTATTCAGCAGTTTTGCATCTTCTTGACCCAGCTTTGGTATTTCATAAGTTTCTATGAATCTGTCTATTTCTTCTGTTATCAAACCTATGAGAGTAGAGATTTTTGAAATAGGTGTTGATGATCTTCTGTGTTTCTACAGAATCTGTAGTGATTTCACCTTTTTCATTCCTTATGGCATGAATTTGAGCTTTTTCATTTCTTTTTGAAATAAGGTTGGCTAGAGGCTTATCAATTTTATTTATTCTTTCAAAGAACCAACTCTTTGATTCATTGATTCTTTGGATTGTTTTCTTAGTCTCTATTGCATTAGTTTCTGCTCTGATTTTTATAATTTCTTCCCTTCTTTTTGCTTTGGGCTTGACTTGCTCTTATTTTTCTAGATGTTTGAAGTGTAGCATCAAGTTATTTATTTGCATTCATTCTGTTTTCCTGATGTGAGAACTCAGTGCAATATATTTTCCTCTGAGGACTGCTTTCATTGCATCCCACAGATTCTGGTAAGCTGTATTTGTATTTTTGTTTGCTTGCAGGTATTGTTTAGTTTCTTCTTTAATTTCCCCTGTAACCCACTGATTGCTCAAGAGTGTGTTATTCATTTTCCATGTGTTTGTGGGGTTTTTGCAGTTTGTTTTATCATGAATTTCTAGTTTCATGGTGCTATGATCTGATAACATGCATGGAATAATTTCAACCCTTTTGCCTTTGTTCAGATATTTTCGGCGGGCTAGTATATGGTCTATTTTAGAGAATGACCCATGTACTGCTAAGAAGAATGTGTATTCTGATGTTGTTGGATGGAACACTCTGTGTAGGTCTATCAAGTCCTTTTGTTCACATGTGTGATTCAGTTCTGTCATTTCTTTGCTGATTTTCTGTCTGGTTCATCTATTCCTTTGTATCAATGGTGTGTTAAGATCTCCTCTTATAATTGTGTTATTGCTAATTTGATTTTTCATTTCTATTAATACTTGCTTTGTTTAACTGGGTGCTCTGGAATTTGGTGCATATATATTTAAGATTGTTATCTCTTCCTCTTGAAGTTTTCCCCTAACCGGTATGTAATGACCTTTTTTTATCTCTTCTAATCATTCTTGGTTTGAATTTTACATTGTCTGCAAACAGAATAGCTACCCCCATTTTTTTTTTTTTTTTGGTTCCTGTTGCATAAAGTATTGTTTTCCATCCTTTGACTTTCAGCCTGTGTGTATCCTTTTGGGTTAGATGGGTTTCTTGTAGACAGCATATGGTTGGATGTTGTTTCTTGATCCATTCTGCCAGTTTGTTTCCTTTAATTGGAGAATGGAGACAATTTACAGTAATGGTTATAACTGTTATTGTTTTGGTTCATTGTTGAAATGTTATCTTTCTGCTGTGGCATCTTTATCTTTCCATTCTGTTTAACTGTCTGCTTTCCTTAGTGTTTTTTTCCCTAAGTGTATCTAGACTGTGTTTCAGTATTCTTTGCAGGGTTGGTTTGGTGATCATGAAGCTCTTTAGCTGTTCTTTGTCATGGAAGTATTTTATTTCTGCATCCAATTTCAAGGACAGGTTTGCAAGATACCTCAGTCTAGGTTGGGAATCATTTTCCTTTAGGATCTGAAATACTTCATTCCATGTTCTTCTTGACTTTATTGTTTGTGCTAAGAAGTCTGCTGCAATTCTGATAAGTTTTCCTTTATAGGTGATGTATCTTTTCTCTCTGATAGCGTTTAATATTCTATTCTTAGGTTGGATTTCTGGGATGGTGATTGTTATATGTCTGAGTGTAGTTTTATTTTGGTTATGGCTATTTGGAGTTCTATATGCTTCACTGATCCTGATGTCAGTTTCCATTCTCATGTTTGGGAAATTTTCAGCTATTACTTCTCTAAATATCCTCTTGATATCCTTTGTGTTGTCCCCCCCCTTTTTTTTCATTTATCCCTAGCAATCTTATGTTGTTTTTCTTTGCATCATCTTGCAGCTGTTGAATTGTTATTTCCTAATTCCTTGTTATATTTAAAAGATCTTTCCTGTCCTATTCCCTAGCTGCAATCTTGTCTTGGAGGTGTGAAATTCTATTTTCACTTTTGTTGAGGTGGTTTTGACAACTTTCAATGGAGTTTTTGATTTCCTGCATATCTCTTTGAATCTACTTCATGTATTCTGTTTGTTTCTTATATTGTTCATCCAGGGATTCTATCTTTTGTTTTGTTTCTCTAATTTTTTAACTGTGTCTTCTTTAGATGTGTTCAGCATCTCTTTCATTACTTGTATCATTTCTTCTTTTACCTGGAATATTATTGCTAGTTTGAATTCCTTTAAAGCTTCCTGGAGTTGCTTCTTTATTTTAGTTGCTGTTATTTCAGGTATTTCAGGTGTATGGCACATATTTTTCTTCTATGTACATATTTCCTAAGGTTTCTTGGGATGGTCTGGAGGTTTGAGATTGTATTTTGGTCTTTCATTTTGTCATTTTCATATATTTCCGTGTTTCAAATGTTGTTCCAAGGCTCCCCCTGGTCCTGTTGGAAATCGTCTTCTATGCCATCAGCTCCTGGGACTGTGGCTGCCCAGTTCCCCAGATTGAGAGAGGGTCACCGAGGGTGTGGTAGGCAGGTGGAGCAGGTCGAGTGTGGCAGGAAGCTGGGAAGTTCCTTGGCCAGTGGGAGGGATGACCTTAAACTCCTGGGGCTTGGGATGGTGAGGGGACACTCACTTCTGGCCACCCAATTTCAGAATTGAGGGTGCAGGCAGGCGCAAGACCCCCGGAGCCAGCCAAGTGTGGCAGGAAGTTGGGAAGTTGGCGCAGGTAGGCCTAAGACCAACAATTCTTTTTTATAGTTCCTTTTCAATCTGTATTCCTTGAATATGTTTTCCTTGATTCCCATCTCAAGGAAAATTATTATTTCATCATTTAGCATGTTTTTTACTTAGTGCTACTTTATAGGTGTGATTTACCAGGTTGAGAAACTTTTCTTGCTTTCATAGTTTTCTTGCTTTTCAAACTTTCAAAACTTTGAAAAGTTTTCAAACTTTTCTTGCTTTCTTAGTTTGCAGCAACTCCACCATTGGTGATATTTGATTTAGTTGAACATGTTTCTGTATTTATGAAATGATACATGTATTTTTTCTTATTAGCATATGGTTATTGTGAATCATATGAAGTGATTTTTAAAATTCAAACCAACCTTACATTCTTGGGATGAATTGCACTTTAATCATAATGCATTTTATACAGCAGGATTTTTTTTACACTAATATCTTGTCGAATTTTTGTTTCCCTAAAGATAAAAAATATTGGTCTGAGTTCTGGTATGAGGCATGCTGGTCTCATATGATGTATTGGGAAGGGATCTTTCTCTTCCATGTTTTGGGAGATTTTGTGTAAAATTGCAAATATTTCTTACTTGACTGTTTAGTAAAATTCATCAAGGAAAAGATGTTTGAAATATGGTTAATGAGGTTCTTCAGGTCATGTTTTTCTTTTCTTGAGAAATCTTTAGGAACTTTTGTCTTTAGAAAAATTATTCATTTCATTACATGTGTTAAATTTATAGATCAGAAGTGGGAGAAACATAGAAGGTGGTAAATAGTTCATTATTATTCTAATAATGTTTGTAGGATCTATAATAGTGACTATTTTTTAAATGATGATATTGATAATTTATAATTTGCTTCTTTTCTAACTAGAGAGGATATTTTCCTTCCTCTTTCTTCTCCTCCTCTTCTATCTGCTCCTTCTTTCTCTGATTCACATTCTTTCTTCTCCTCCTACCCTCTTCCTTACTATGTCTCAGCACTTCAAAGACATTGCTCTTTCTCTTCTGGTTTGCATAGTTACTGTTACTGTCAAGAGGTCTTTTTTCTTTTCTACCTTCTTTCTCTGCTTATAGTAAATCATTTGCTTTTGGGTTATTTTAGGACGTGCTCTTTCCTTTTGGTTTTCAAGAGTTTCACTAAGATGTACCTAGTTGTGTTTTCCTTTGTATGTATCTTCCATGGGCTTCTCTGAGCTTCTGAGATGTATGGTGTGTTAGTTTTCATCAGTTTGGGGAAATTCTTACCTAGAGATATTCAGTGAGTTTAGCATGATTAGGACACAATTTTGACAACAGAAGAACAAAATTGGAAGGATCACATTGCCGAGATCTACATATACCTCGAGGAATTAAACAGTCTGACATTAGAGGAAGAACAAACATGTACCTCTATTGAAGATAGTAAACAGTACAGACATGAAATCAGAATTTGTTTATTGACAGAATTCTTTTTAAAATGGAACTATGCATATTTCAACTTCGAGAAGCACTAAGCTAGAAAAAGAAGTATCAACATTGATTATTACAATAAAGTTGACAGCACATAAACTCACGTCTCCAAAAACCCCACTATTCCTCAAGCACTAAATTTAAGCATTACCCTCGATTCTTCTCTTCCATTCACACCCTCCTCCAAGATCACATTCATCAGCAAGTCCTGTTGGTTTACACCTCTCAAAGATATCTCAGTGTGTTTGTGCCCCTCTCTTATGCCTACATACCCCAAGTTGCCATTTTCTTGCTTCTGAACTCTTAGTAATGATTTCCTGATTTCTTTGTGTATTCTTTTCTTCCTGCAAACAATTTACAGTGATATTAATAGTGAGGAACACAGAATATAAACACATGATAAAATAATTAAAACAATAATTATTTTGATAAATTTGAAAAAAAGAAATCAACACAATGATGCAGTAAAGACGGAACGCCACAGCCCCTTGTAGCATCTACCTCTGCTTGTAGTAGGAAGGCCTCATTCAACTTTAACTGCTTCCCTAGAAACCCTTTCTCCACAGGTATGGGGGTCAACATATAAATGGGGGATACTATACACGAAATAAGTTCATTATGGAAAGGGTGGGGAAGTCTCTGTGTATCAAAACATCTGTAGATATGAAGTTTGAGGTTAAGCCAGTCACCATGTGAAGAATGAAGACAGTATGTCAGGCACTTTGAAGTATAGGAATTTTTGGTCATCAGTGGAAAAAAATAAATAAATCCCATTATTTCTATCCTGATAAGTGAGATCTTACAATCAAACCTATCATCTTCAGGTTTTATTCATAAATGACTCCACTAGCTTTTAAAACTAGCATTTAGGCAAAATCAGAAAGAAACAGAGACTAGTTACTGGCAAGTTGGAACTGAAGCTTTAGTTCCAATGCAAAGCTAACACTTCATGTTTAAACTGGTTTGCTCAGAAGCTCCCTCTGTGAAGGGTAAATTCTTGGGGTGTCTCATTAACTATTGAAGGTATAAGCCTGTTCAGTTGATGGTGACTTAAAAGCATTAACCTATTTTACTGCAAAGGAAAAAAGAAAAGAAAACACCTTCAGAACGTTCTAGAAGTCTCATTGGTTAAGGTACAAGGAGATTCGTAATCTTTCTGAATTAACCAAAAAATACGTGATATCATGTGTGGACAGTCTTTTAATGGGCTGCATTTGAAGCTTTCCACTGTAGGTTTCCGCTGTTTCTTCAAACAACAACACTAGCAGATTACGGTTGAGACATGTTCCAAGATAGGAACGGGAAATGTGAAACCCTTCCACATTCACTCAACCACACCCCATTATCATTATCTCCAGGCAGAGAAGTGAACATGGAGGACAATAAACATGATCTGTCCTTGATTCACTCCTTTCCACCTCCAACAGAATAATTGTCACATGCATCAGAGAGCATTTTGCCCAGTTCAGGCCTAATAAACTGTTCTTTTCCATGACAGGCTTTCAGGGATAGACATTTCTGTCTAATTTGCTCAACATTTTCATGCATTATCCATGCAAACATGTTTTTTCAGCCATTTATGACCAAGAATCATAATCCTAAATCGGTTCAAAATTGTTTGTTGAAAACATTTGTATACAAATAATAAAATAACAAAAGAATTGCTTATTGTATTGTCAGTAGACAAGTTGCATCCTTGTTTGATGGGTTCTATACGTCAAACTCCCTTAGTACGTGGTATCACTGTTTGATTTCCAAAGGTAATGGCTAACAAAATCTAAATTTTAACTTTACATCCAGTGCTCCTTGTTCTTCTCTAAGTGAAAAATATGATGGGACTAAGTAGGTTACTTGATTAATCTATGGTCTAATTTAAACTATGGTTTAATTTGTAGTTTAATTTGCCATTAATTGGGCAAAATTGGAAGAGATTTTCAAAAATTATTTCTGAAAATCTATTTATTGTAATTTTTATAATAATAAATAGCAAAGAAAGAACCCTACATTTACCATTATATATGTAAACAATGTCTACTGTACATGCACATGAATTTACAATTAGGAATATGCATGTTAAAAATATATATTCCCACTCAACTTCTTAAATGAAGTATAATTTTTTTTACTAATAAAATCATTAGGAATCATTTAATCAATAATTTATGAAGCAGGTTTCTACTACCATGTAAAATCAATTTTAAGTGAAAATTATTTACTGGACATATCAATTTGCTGGAAATGTTTTCAACAAAACCTGTATATTCTTCTTGGTTCTCTCTAACGACTCATTTTGGATCTTTTTCTGTTTTCAGTTTGTACTAATAATCTTTTTTTCTTACAAATAATTCCAAGTTTACTTTAATACAGATGGTATTTGTCTATAGCCAAAAGCACTTTCCAAAATGCACCCTAGCTCAACAGACTAGTTTGAAAAGCATCTTCAATGAAAATAAACAGTCAAAACCAAGATTAACAAGTATAAAATCACTAAGAGCTTCATAACTGGATTTTTTTTCTCTTCACCAGTCTGAGTGGGTTTATTTTTTAAAAATCTAACATAGAATACAAATGTGTATGTAGGCTACATAAAACTGATTACATGTGTATATCCATGATTTAATGGGAAATGATAACTTAAACATCTGCCACCTTTACTGCATTAAAACAGAATCTTGTACATCTCTTTAAACTATGGCAGATAAGAATGATTGTGTTTAATACAGTTTAGATTACTAAATATGAAGTAGTTTAGACTGAAACGCTGGACAGTTAGTTGAATATACAAGAAAGTTTATTTTTCTGAATTCAGAATTCGTATTTAGATCTCATATTGGCATATAAATTTATAAAAAATCTTCAATGTCCAATATTTGCCAAGCACTGCACTATACTATATAATAATGCTAAAAATTGTCAAAAGTAGCACTCAGAAATTTATTACAGTACATAAATCTCCAGGAGGTAGGTTAATTCCTGCTCATCTTTTATCAATTATATGCTCAATGAACTCTCTTTATTAAGAAAAAAAACAATTATTAGACTTTAGAAAAATACATTTTTTTTTTCAGAAATAGTGGGTTCACTATGGTAGGTAGGTTGTTCTGAGCATGTAGTGCCACCCAATGGTAATGTGCCCCAATGACACCAGCTTTTAGGTTAGAGGTCGTTTTGTCTTTGAATCATATCAATCAGGACAGTAGGGATGGATAATTGTCCAGATTAAAGTGGCTTTCCCTGGAGACAAGGGAGAAGAACTCTTTAGCTAAAAATGTTTCTTCTATAAAACCAGCACAAAGTACTTCATTCAAAATCTGATCTGAGGTGACTATAGTTAAACAATGGAATTTCCTATGAATATTGAAGCTATATCAAGTAATAACAGCCCTATTTTGCAGAAATACCTACCAATGTGTTGAGAGTAACTCTCCACGCAATGAGAAATGAGAGCAGGCAGAAACCCTGCAATAAAGCATGGATTAACTGGTCTGTAGGTATCTAAATTTCAGCCTGAGTCTCATTTATTAAGAACAGTCTGTAAGGTGCAGGCCTTTCTCCAGAGAGGGGACAGACTAGGCTGACTATTCCTTGTGGTTCTTTATGTGCTCACAATTACACTCAGTATCACTGTTCAAACCTCTGGCAAAAAAATTAAAAAGTAAAACCGTAACTTGCTGCAACAGTTTCTACACTACTTTCTAAAAGTTGTTGAAATGATCCAGGCCTTTTCACCTTTTGCTTGAGAGATAGCTGGAAATAATTGGCACTTTGCTCCGTGGCAAAAGGCATTGATGGTGAAAGAGGTCTGCTTTGTTTAGGAAACTCACCATTCAGGAAAGTGAAAGTATTTTCAAGTTCAATAAAAACATTGCTATTCAGGTATTTCATGTCCAGTGTGCAGCTTGCACTTTCCACAAAGTCAAAAGTAGCTGCGCTTTGGTGCAGTGGGTAGGACTGTAGCACATAGCAGGCAGAGCACCTTTTAGAACTTCAGCTGTTACGAAGGCCTAGGTTTAGGAATATCCGCTGGGAAATGCTGGAAAGTTCTCCAGAGCAGCAACAACTTTTAAAATTTTATCATCTAGATGACCTTAGCACCCAAACTCCAAAGGCAAGAATTACCTAGTAATATAGTATGGGATTATTTAAAGCTATAGTATAAAATGTGACATGAGATGAAATTAAAATGTTATGGTAAATTTTTTACCATGGTAATGTTTGCTGAAGAAGTGGTCAAGGGCACATTTTAAGTAGGCTTTAGAATTTTTGCATTTATTGAAGTGTCAAAATGATAAACATTTAGTCATTCAACATTCATTACTCGGTAGTCTGAGTAGATATCTTGCTATGTAATATGCATATAAAAGTAGGCAAAACAAACAAACAAACAAAAAATCTCTACCTAGTCAAGAAAAATACTATTATGACTTGGCTAGTATAATTTGACTTAAGGCTTAAGATAGGACTTAGTTCAAATTAGGAATAGAACGTTATATTAACTGATCATCAAATGAACATACCTTATTGTTATGAGAAAATAGTTTATTCCATTAAAAAAGAATTATTACATTTTTACCAAAAGTTAAAAGGATGACACTTTTTTTCCAGAAAAAAACTTACTTGATCGAACTGGATAACTTTCATCATGATTAAATACTCTACTAATAAAATTTTAAAAGTTGTAAATATATAAGATGCACAATGATATTCTAATGACAAATTAAATACATGGGAATTCAGGTACTCTGCCAGGTACTCATTAATAAATTTGCCTCTAAGGAAGTTACTAGAAGGTTAAAAGGGACTCAAGATGCTAGTCAAGATGAGGCCTTGTCTCTTGGCATTCACTGGTCCTGAGAATAAACAGAAAAGTACATGCAAATCTCAGCCCTGCTTTTCTGACTTGCTCAAATCACAAAAGGATCTATCCTATCTTCTATTTCTCTTATTCTTGGCCAAATTCTCTCAGTTCCAAAATCACTCCTTTTTCTCTTCATTCCTCCTCCTCAGGGTACCAGTTAGCAAATTAACACCTACATAAATAGTTATCAAATGACCTTGGAGTGGAAAACCTTCCAAATATGTCCACCAGCTCTTAGAGAGTAATTTATGAATGGGATTTCACTGATTTTGATCTGTGTGTGACCGATTCCATAGATCAGAAGATTAGTGAACTATTCCTATTTGGGGTATTTATTTACATGGCTAGGGTTAACTTCAATTCTCCTAATTTTATTCTATTATCTCTAATTTTGTCACCCATCATTAATAACATCCATTGCTCACAGAACCCTCTGTCTTTTTTCTAGTATTCTAACCCCTTTTAAGGGAGAGATTTTGTTTTCTTTTGACAGAATTTATTTCTGTTCTTCCCTCCCGTGGACTGAAAAAAACAAAGTGTTCTGCAGGGGTGCTATATTTAATAGGAAAAGATTCTATTTTGTGGCCTCATCTGGGCTTTATAATGGGCAGTAAAGATAAAACTTGATTATTTTGAAGGATAAAAAATAATGGTGCCTGGAATAATTCACTTGTCATAAATTAGTGCTTCATAAATGGGCAAAACTGACACAAGTACACGTACAAATAGATTTGTCTGAAAACAATGTGGCATTTTACATACAATCTTAGCAGCATAATGAAAACAGTCATTTTGAGAAGCTGAAATCGCTCAGAGCCAGCCTCATGCTCGTCTGTTCACAGACCCCCTCATGAAAACCACCTTGTTCCTTCTTCTGATTTTAAGGCTTTTTCTGTGTCTTTAAGATCATGCAATGTTTCTTGTTTGTCTGTTCTTTCCCATGATCATTGCCCAATGACACCAGGTTCAGCCAACTTCCATCCACAAGGATCTGAGTTTGCCCACAGCTATGTCTCCCAACTGTCCTTGATTTCTGTTCTCTGTGTCCTCAGCTGCAGTTTGTCCCTGGAACTATTCCCAGTTTTAGTAACTAGCCAGAAGCTGACCCACAGTACAGGAAGAATAGAAGAAAGATTTCTCTGGCTTTTTCCAACTCACTAGACCTGTCAGGAGCATCAAAGGAAGTCAACCCTCTGCATTGTCCTTCCACACTGGTTATGGGTGTTGGCTCCTAAAAATCACTCAGGGACAACATGAAGTAACGCCATGAAAAGATAAGCCTTTTACAGATAAACTGAGGTCTCCAGAGGTTAAATTACATGTCCACAACAACATAGCTACAGAGAGTCAGAGCCAGAATTTGAGCCCAAGTGTTCCTGACCACAGGAACCGTGTTTTTAATTGTTACAGACTACTGCATCTCAGACATTCTAATGTTTAAACATGAGCAGTGCCACTCAGGATTACCAGCTCAGACAAATTAGGTGTAATTGAAATAACTAATCGATTGTATTTAATATAACTGGGATTAAGAACCTTGCAAATTTTTGGTAGCTAATTTTTTGAGTAGTTATGTGTTAAAAACTTGCCTAAATAATGTACTCTTTCTCATTAAAGTCTGACAATAACCACACAAGAAGGTAGTAATATTATTCTTTGCATTGAAAATAGAGATACAGTAGGATTAAAACAAACCACAAAACTTTCCCTGTTTAGTAAGTTGGGGATAATGAAGATTTGAACAAGGTATTTCTTATGCACTATATTTTACTTGATTTGATTAAATTATACCACTTCTATTATAAATGCTTTCTATAAGCAGGCATTGTGTAAAGTGTTGTGTATTATGCATTAACCTCTTTTATCTATTTTGATATATAATACATAATTCATTTGTTTTTAGCAGAAGAAACCAAGATTTTTAGTTCATTGATAGAAGTAGTAGAACTAAAATTTGAATTCATATGTGACTGATTTAGACATTGAGTCCTATAGGAAGGCATCTGAAAAATAAATAATTCCCCTAAAATAACTTTTATGATGACTGGAAAGGATGTTTCGAAGATCCAAAAAGCTAAAACTTCTCATTTTTCTGTCAAGCCCATTCATCTTGAGCTTTGCTTGAGGATTCCACAGCACTTCTGCTCACAAGCAGCACTATTTGGCAGATGTAGTGTTTGAATCATTTAAAAAAAAAATGTACTGGATTCTGCCAGTTGGTCACAGTTAAACAGTTGCAGCATTAGCATTTTATTTTTGCCCTTGACTTGAGAGATGAAATGGTCCATTTTGATGTTTTGCCTCTTTGATTGCAGATAGATTGCCTGTCTTAGGCAGAGTATTGAAACGCTTGTCACCCGCCACCTACTCCATCTTGTTAGAGTCCAAAAACCTTCCTAATGTGACTAGTTTCCAGTCACCTGAGGCTATCTAGTTTTGGTTAATGCAATTCCACTGGCTTTTCTACAAGTGCCATCAGTTCATCCTGAGGTATTATTAAAACAGACTCACATAATTACTGACCTGATGTGCCCTCTGTTGTATCGTTACAACCCTCTAAGCTTTACTCTTTGATTTGTATAATATTTTTAGATATGTAAAGTTTTAACTCACACACTTGGAAATGGCAAATCTTGTTTCCAAATGAACAGCACTGTGATTTTTATTATTTTCTTTGTTTTTTTCCTTCCTTTAGGCAAGATTTTGGATAATTTCCCTGTTTCATATTATAATTCCCAATTGTATTGACATTAATATTTCCAAGTTGAATCTCATTTCATGACTTTGTGCCATATTTCTAGAGTCTCTTTTCCATGGTGCATTTCGTCCTGTATCATTACAATTTTTAAACAGCTTCACACTTAACACATTTACCAGATTAACCGGAGATACTGTTTAAACTCCTCTCCCCTCAACTAGGACACAAATAAAGACATTAAATTAAGCTGGTTTCATTTCAAAACCATAGAAAACTTACTGAACATCACCTTCTGTCCAAGGATGGTCATTTATCACTGCTTTTGGACTTAGTAATCTGGCTTGTTTTCGACTCATGTAACAGGGCTTCCATAAGAATAAATCTACTTCAAGGGAGACTTTTGCATTGTAATATATTAGCTGCGATATTGAAGGTCGGCTCTTTTAGGTTTATTGAATTTTTTCCTTCATACTAATTTTGGTAATTCATTCAAAAGAGGGATTAAGTGTGCTTTGGCATTATACACACACTGTACTTTGTTAAGAGTTCTATTATCGCAGATGTTCAGAATAAGCAGCTATGGGCACTTTTGAGAAGAAAAGCAAAGTATTCTCAGGCACCCTGAGAATGCCTGAGCTGGTTGATGACTACGAAAGGACATATTTTATATGGTATATAGCACACACACACACATACACACACACACACACACACACACACACAAAGTCATACGTGGCTTATGAAAAGATATATTCTGAGAAATGTGTATTCAGGTAATTTAGTCAGTGTGGTAACATTACAGAGCATCATTGAGCATCTAAAAAACTAACATGGTTACATCATCACTAGGCAACATTATCTTATGGGATCGCCAATGCATAGGTGACTTGTCACTGATAAAAATGTCATTATCAGTGCATAACTCCGAGTGTGGATCTCTATATATGGTTTGTGTGTATGCATTGTCAAAGCAAGCATATGATGATTGGGAAGGTGAACTATACAAAAATAAAAGAGAAGTACTACCCAGGTTATCTAAAAATAGATGTCTACACCAGACTCTGACCTCACATAGCTGCAATTAAAGGCAATTTACCATGTGAAACTTTACATAGAGTGAGCCACAATCATTTTTTTCATTTTAGTTCTCATCTTTAATTTTCTATGCAGAACAAACAACATGTTTTAATATTGATTAGGTAAATTCAGGTGTTAAATTTTATTCTGTGTTCTTCTGAAACATTGAATTAGGGAATTCAGGTTTCCTTTGTATACATTCAGAAATTATTTGATTCCAAAATCAAATTATGGAGTGGAAAGATGAGAGTTGCCAAAGCCACTATTTGTAGAACAGAGGGGCTTCATCACCTGCCCTGTGCAGAAATGGTCACCTTAAGTTTTTTCCTAAAGGTTCCTCAGAATAAAATGGAAACCCCTCGCCTCTGTAGAGAGCTGTTGTCTCAGAGAGTGATAGAATACTCAACCTGATGGGATCTTTGAAGGTCAGTTAGCTTAGTCTCTCATTTTAGGACTCCCCAGCTCCCTTAACTTCCATGTAGGAAGGCCTAGAGCTCACATCAAAGCAATGGTCCTACTTTCCAATTTCAAAGCAGAGGTGAGAACATACAAGAGGCATGAGATATGCTTGAGATCCTGCACCCTTTGCTGAGACAATAAGGATCACAAAGCCACCAGATTCTCTTTTCCCAGATCCCCTCCAAAACAACATTAGGAACTGTGTGCCCTGCCCTTGTCTCTTGCCCTTGGGTTTTCACCAGGTCTTTTCATGTGGAGTCTTATATGTAGCAATTTAGAGTCAAGAGACATGATCTCCTGTCCTCATAGATTAGAGTTCAGTGAAAACAAAGGGCAGGCAATATTCAAAATTGAGAGGTCATTTTCCCCCAAAGCACAAGAGAGTTGCAAAGTTGTTTATTCACAGAAGCACTGAAACCAAAGAAAAGTATGCACTTTATTTAATCAAAGACATATCATTTGAAAACCAAGTTTCCTAGAGTAAATTATGTCCATTTTTAATACCAGTGAAATATCTGTATCCTTTAATTAAGTCATCTGCAACACACAAAGTAATGAGACACTTCATGTTTCAAAAATCCAGTGATTACAAATACTTTGTAATCACTGGATTCTAAAAATGGTTCCATAAAGTATCAAGTACACTAAAGAAAAAAAGAGAAAAATAATTTCCTATTTTTGTAAAAATATATAACTACATAGGAAGGTGACTGGGAGAATAGTCACTAAAATATAAAATTTTACCTTGGGGTTGTAGAATTTTGCATGATTTTTACTTTCCCTATAAACTTTCTATGTGTGGTTAGCAAGTCTTTTTAAGTAAAAAAAATGGTGTAATCTAAAAAGACAAGGCTAGCTTAATTTTGAGAAATATTGATATACAGCTACCTTTCAGGTGTGTGTAAAACTTTTGAGCTTGCTTTTCATGGCAAGTGCCCCATATTGCCCTTATTCATTCTCTTCTTTAACTTTCACTTTCTGGACTATCTATTTTAAAATTCTGAATTTTGAAATTCTCTTTTGATGCCCAAAATGTTTTAATTTTGTTGAGCATGGTGGCACACACCTGTAATCCCGGCACTCGAGAGGCTGAGGTAGAAAGATCGCTGAGAGTTTGAGGCCAGCTTCGGCTACAAGGTGAGTTCAAGGCCAGCTGCAACTGCAAAGTCAGACCCTGTATCATACAGATGAAAATAAAGTAAAATAAAATAAGTGTTTTAATTTTATGAAGTAAAATTGGTGTATTTTGAGTTAGTATTTGTATGGGACAGTACGTGGCTGTTGCGGATTATATGGAAAATGTCTCCCCATATTGTTCAGACGTGGGGCTTTTGGACAGGCTCCTGTACTGGTGACTTAATAAATCCATTAATGAGTTTCTGGCTGAACGTGCTGTTAAGAGGAACCTGGCTGGAAACGGTGGGACATAGAGCTGTAACTTTAGTAGCTTATTAGCTACTTTAGTAGCTTTTAATTTCTTGCAGCAAAGTTTCATAGTGTTCATTATATGGTACAAGTTTTTTACTTCATTGAGTAATTTTTAAATTTTTATGTTATCGTAAATTGAATTTTCATAATTTTGTTCATAGATTGGTCATTGTTAATGTAAGATATGCAACTGATCTTTTATTTTGATCTTGAATTCTGCCACTCTGTTGAATTTGTATTAAGTATAGTAGGTTTTTGGTGGAATCTTTAAAATTTTCTACATATAAAATCATATTATTAGAAAAATTGTTTTTGATGCCCAAACATTATTCCCAGCTTCAGAAAATCATGTTACTATGATAGAAGCATTCTTATTATTTGTGTTTCTATTATGTGTAGCTGTATTGGTAAGAATAGTTAATTGTCCCATTCAAAGTGATTCAACATACAGATGTATGTTTTCTTTATTTTGTCTTACATCATTTATATGTCTAGGACTTTACCAGTGAAATATGAATTATTATGTTACTTTCTTTTTTGTTTCATAAAACTAAAATTTCTATTTCTTCCTATTTGTTTTTCAGTTTAAACACATATGAGGAGACTAGCTAAAATTTTTGTTTTAAGGTATAAAAAGGGTATTGTAAAATATTTTTGTAAACATGTAAGATTTGGAACAGTTACTCAAGAAGATGAGTCCAAGTGGAAATTTCTATCAGTATATCATTTTCAAAGCTTGCAATATTTTCCCGTCTTCAATGATTCTGATGTGGACCAGACACACGGGTCAACCTTCCCACCTTCCAAAACTCATGTTAAAATGTAACTGTATTGTAGCAATATTACAAGGTGGGACTTTTAAGAGGTGATTAGGTCATGAGTTGAATCCTCATGAATAGATTAAAATTGTCATTATGGAAGTGGGTCAGCCTTTCTCGTATTTGAGAGTACATTTATTGTAGTTTGTCCTTTCTTTCTGTGTCACAGTTGTGATTGTTTGCCTTTCAACTATGTGAAAATGCAGGATGAAGGCCCTTGCTAGATATGACCCCTGAAACTTGAACTCTTAAACCTCCATAACTGTCAGCAACGTTAACTTCTATTGTTTATATTTTTTTTAGTCTGTCATAGTTGCAGAAAATAGGCTAAGAAAAATGCTGTCTATCTTAGGTTCTTGTAGGGGTCAGCTACCAATTATACTGCACAACTCATCTTTTTTGCCACTAGCTCTGTGATTACTGCCTAAAAAGTCCTTAGAATTATCTGTCTTACCCCATCTTCTTTGTTGCCACGACAGAATTCCCAACACTCACAACTTTCAGGGGAGACAGTTTTATTTTTGCTCACTGCACCAGAGATCTCAGTCCACATAGAATGAAAGAGTCTAGTACAGGAAAGCTACTCACACCATGATGATCAGGAAGCAGAGAAAAAAGGGAGAAGTTGGGGAGGGAAAAATATTCTGGTACCTCATGCCTTCAGTGACCCACTTTTTCAACCAAGCCCCTCCACCTAACAGCAAGCAGCTATACTACCTCCCTGATCCAATTATTGTTTTAAAACCTACCTCTAAAAACATGTGGCTTTGAGGGGACAGCCCAGTTCTAAACCACGAACATTCTGATTCTGGTCCCCAAAAGATTCATGTCTGTATCTTTATGCAAACTGCATTTAGTCTATGTCAAAGAGTTGTCAAGGTTTTGGCAGTTTTAGCAATATCTAAAAATCCACCTCCAAAGCACAAAGGAAACTCTTACCTGTAGCCCTTGAAAAAAAAAAATAAAGTGAAACATTGCAGGGTAAACACTTTCATTCCAAAATAGAGAAATGGACTAGGGAGGAATGATACTAAAGCAAGAATGAAACTCAGTACAGCAAAAATAAATCCTGTAGTTCCATGTCTAGCCCCCAGGAAACACTGTGGCCAAATGTGAGTTCCAAAGGGATTGAGTGGTCCCATCCCCATGGCATTGCCGGTTGAAGGCCTTATGGGTTCACTCTTAGGATGGCTTTGCTTACTACTGCAGAGTTTTTCAGTAGCTGTTCCATGGCTCAGCTTCTGAAACTTCCCAGAGTCTCTACTACATTTTAGCTGATTGCCTTACTCACTGCCCTCTCACTGCTGGGCCTCCCAGGCCTTCTTCTGAAATATAGATTGAAGCCTTCCTGACTACTTAATTCTTACATTCTTCATCCCCATAAAACCAGAACCACATAAATGATAACAAGGTCTGCAACCAGCTGAAACAATAACCATGGCTCCTTGGATCATGGCTGCAGCAACTTCTGAATTCCTGGATAGCTGAACAGTCTGAAGTGAATCTCAGAAACCAATTCCTTAGACAGTTCTCTAGCAGAACGTGCAGAGGATCTCTTCTCAAAGCAAAGTCTTTTAAAAGAATTTACCTTTACCAGTTTACACACTTGAGCTAGTGAAAGTGGGGCCTTCTGATTCCTGCAGAGCTCCCAAAGTCTCTTTCTTATTGCCCTAATAAAAAGAATGGTTTCTTTATAAGGTTAGTGATTTCAGTGTTAAATCTCTCCTTGACCAAAACCATTATAAGCACTTCTTTTCTGGCCACCAGAAAAAATTTCATTTTTGTCTTGATTCTCAGCTAAACTACAGCTAAACGCAACCAACAATATCCACACCACAACTAGAACATTGGGTTGCCTTAAAATTTCCCCCTGATTAATTATCTGTTTCCCTTAATCTCAATCATCTACAAGGTTTCAGAATACAGGAAAAATAAAGACAAACTTTCTGCCATAACACATATGACCTCAAGTCTTACTGCCAATGAAATCCTTCTTCCCAAGTGAAACTGCCTGAACATGTCCTTTACTGTTCACATTTTTATTAGCATTTTGGTCTTCTGAACTCTGACCAGAATCTTCTATCAAACTCAGCTTACAGAATTCCACAGTTTCATTAACTAGCATCTTTACACATTTTCAAACTTTCTCAAAGCATTACTGAAGACTTCTAAACCACATGGTCAGGTACAGTCAGGCACCAACCCCACACTCAGTACTCAGGTCTGTCTTAGTCACCTTCCTCATCACTGAGACACAATACCTGAGACCCTCAGTTGAAAAGAGGAATGTTTTAGTTTTGCTCACAATTTCAGAGGTCTCAGTTCGTGGACGGCAAAAAAGTTTGGCCGAATAAAGCTGTTCACATCCTGATGGCTTGGAAGCAGAGTGAGAAGTATATATATTTGTGGCCCATGTGACCCACCTCCTCCAACCTGCCCCTGTTTCTTAACAGCAAGTCAGCTACACTGGCCCCATGATCCAATCACCTTTCAAAAGCCCTCCTTTTCAGCATATCGTCTTTGCAGATACAGATCTAGACCATAATAGCTTCCATTAAATTAATGTATAATAAGGTACTGAATGTCCTACTTTTATAGGCTTGTGGTTTTAGCCTTGATATCAAATATTAAACTAATGGAAGCATCATATTTTATTTACTATATTTCCCATACCTACCAAAAGGAAGGGCACACTTTAGTGCTGGTGATTCTAGCCTTTTACTTTTACTTTTCCCCAGCTACAAATTTGAATCTTCCCAGCTAGAACCAATTCTATCATATGGCAGACCCCAGTGCCTTAAAGGGGAGTCACAATTCTAATGTATTTCTAGGATTTGGGAATTTGCTTCTGGTTATCACAGTGTCAGGTACATTATTGTGGACTGAATATTAATTAGTAGTTTAATCTTCAATGCTCAAGTATTTGGGATGTATAAGAACAATTTCACTCTTTATTCAACTAATGGACCAAGAGACCACATCCACTGAGAGGTGTAAGAAATACCCTTAGATGCAAGGGCCACTGATCATGTGCTTCCCACATCATACTGGAGTCTTCACTTCCCAGGCTAAAAGTCTGTGACTTGTTATCTTGCATCCTGCCTATTAGACTTTTGCTAGTATTGAATAGGTTCTTTAGGAAAGCACCATGCAACTCTTGTGCCATACTTCTGAATAATGTACTACTTTAAAGGAAGAATATTTCCTAATGCTTGTCATGCCCACCTTTTTTTTTTATCTTGAATGAAATTGTGAGTTTGTGTTCTGTGTTCATAGCAAACATCTAGCTAATTCTGAAGATGGACTAATTTTAGAGATATCCCAAGTTGGGGAGGGAGAAGTAGGCCTTGATACTTCCTCTAGTTGAATGACATAAACCAACTTCTTCTAGTCTTGGCAAATGCACTAATAGAAATTTATACAGGGACATTGGGCTCCCTACTATGCATGTGAAGGACATCATAATTTATGTGAAGAAAAATTTTGTAGAATTCTGTTTCTGGAAAAGATTTAAGCATGCACATGCTTTCTCTAATTGATACCAATTTCCCTAAATTTTTAGTTCAGTTTGTGGAATCCCCTCCAGAGAATTTTTGACCTTGTCTAATTTTGGAAAAATGAAAGAAGAGGCTGTGACACACCATCTATGTTCCCCTTCAAGAACAAAAGACTTACTTACATGGGCCTCATAGTGTGCAACTGAAAATAGCCTTTAACTGACAGCCTTCTCCAGGTATACCTCAGCTGTGGACTGCTCTGTCCCCCTTTTTAGGGTGGCTAACATTTAAAACAGGGAATTATCAAGGCTTAGGTTCCTTCTTTTCAGGTAGGGATAGCTCTAAAGAATTAGTTTTTCTGCAGAATTTATTAGAGGTTTGCCTTTAGAGACTACACTACAGATAAACATCTCATTCTGGCTGATCCTGTC